GACTACTTTTTTTTTTTTACTTTTGGTAATAGCAAAAGAAAAACACTCGAACACAGCATAACCATGCGAAACACATTAAAAAATAAAACTGCCTTATCACTTAAAATACATTTTTAAAAGTGAACATCAACCTTCTCGGCAGTCTCAGGCTACCATCCCACTGCTGAAGAGAGACGTGGCCACAGACCTTTTCCTAATGCACAGCGAAACTCCTCTTTCGAGGATTGACCTTGTCGTAGAGGAAAAGCAGAAGAGTTTGCCGTTCTACTCGATTCAACTCTTCGTCGACTGCCTTACGCTTATGTCAATGTAAACTTGAGATACATTACGATTAAAAAATGCCGTTCCAAGCTTTTCCCGAGTCACGCTGACTGGATTACACTGGTTTTAAAAATAGTGTGGCTGTATGTATCTCTCCATAAATGACTGGATTACACTGGTTTTTTAAAAAAGTGTGGTTGTATGTATCTCTCCGTGGTCCTGAACTCTGCGCTTTACGTACATGAACAACAACTGGGAGATACGAGATCTGGCCAGGAATATAAGTGTTTTCAAAGGCAGGTGAGGGAAGACTAAATCCGATATGGTGATGACGATTATCATTACAAAAGGTATAATTTACTCAGCGAAATTAAGAACCCTCTTAATCCGCACCTAGGGCTTTGCACAAACTAATAATCACTTTGCTCCCGTTTAAATTACGTCGTAGTAGAAACATACAGTGAAATAGATGAGAAAATCTCTTCTCTATGCTGAATATTAAGACAGAGAAATATGACTAAAACCCATTTGTTTTCAAAGACATGCTAAAAAAATAACCGGTATTACACAGTTGATGCTCACAGAGGGAAAAGTTAACAAACGGTAACAGTGTTTTTCTTAAGAAACCTGATAAAGGTTGTGTTGTCTTTAAACACAAGCGGGGTCACATTCAACATTACTCTTATTAGATTACATTGTTAAAATATTTAATAAGGAAAAACATGTTTTTCTATTGTTGTCTTCTGTTGCCAGGCCAAAACTTGACTGTGTTGTCTCTTCTTGAGCACCTACTGCATACGTTTAACACCGTACTTTTCTGGTGTCACACAGAACTGCGAATCTATAGCTCATTGACCCAAAACCAACACGTATCCAGTAGGTCAGTAGGAGGTTATGTTCAGGGCAGCATCTAAACTCTGATAAATAGTGCAAAGGTGCCTGAAGTGTTAAACTACAGTGAAACTGCTGCCACTCTTTAGTGTCTCCATTCACTTCCTGATGAACCTTGGTCCTTGCTTTTGAAAAACCTCAGTCAGGAGAATCTGTCAACCTTGGATCTGTC